AGTCAGAGATTTATGCCTCATCCAGCGCCTGCTAAGCTGCTATGAAAAGATAACAATTCAGTCACAGTCTGGAAACAAGAAGAGAAAGCTACCTGCAATGCTGAGTTATCCATAGCCCTGCAGTAGCCTGAAGACCTACTTGGTGGTGATGGGATCTGTGTCTGAATAGATAACTTCACAGAAATACATTTTCATTGCACCCAAGTTGACAATAAACTGGAGCTCATCTTTTCAATCTCATCTCCCGTCATTCCATTTCTGATTCACTGGCCATACTAGCCTTTTTCAGTTCAATGGGTGCTGTAAACACTTTCCCACCTCAAAACCCTCAAACACAACACTTTCTGTACATTTTCTTTCTATAGAGGAAGAAAGCCAAACCTTAGCTAGGGAAATCTCAGCTTCCTGCTTCTGAGGGCTTTCCAGTAAATCTTGTTTTATTAAGTGATGCTTAATAATTGTTTTATAAACAATGAAAGTTAGAGTGAAACTTCCTATGTAAATGCATCAAACAAATAAGACTGGTATTTAAGGACTCAAAGAAATAGGGAAATTAAGGAAGTTCATCTATTTAACATCAGGTAACAAATTCTCTTAAGCTTTTCTTGGAAACATTTCTCTTTATGCTCAGTCTCACCTTTCAAATATATCAGAAAAATAATATTGATTTTGTGTGTTGTCAAGGCATAAACAGCTAATATGAAAGGCACTTCCTAAATTTATTTTCTTTTTTTTTTTTTTGAGATGGAGTTTCATTCTTGGAGTGCAATGGCGCGATCTCGGCTCACCGCAACCTCCGCCTCCTGGGTTCAGGCAATTCTCCTGCCTCAGCCTCCAGAGTAGCTGGGACTACAGGCATGTGGCACCATGCCCAGCCAATTTTTTGTATTTTTAGTAGAGATGGGGTTTCACCATGTTGTCCAGGATGCCTAAATTTATTTTCACGATACAAAATGGGCACTGGGACTAAACATATAGTGTGTGCCTTTGTGCATTAGCTGGTTCCTCACTCAATCGCATCAGGAGTTTTAAACTTTAAAATGTTTGGAAGTAAACATTATTTGAGTAAACTTGATTCCACTGTTTTTGGTCACTACCTTCTGCTGAAGTGGAAGGGTACACTCTAAGAAAGTTGAGTGAATTTAAATATATTGAAATAAGAACTTCCTTCCATTCAACCAATATACCTGTACATGCTGAGATTACTGTTTCTGTGCATGAAGTTACTAGAAAAATAATGGCAACAAAAACACAATGTCTGCTGGTCTCGGGTTCTGCCTACAGAAAGACCTCAGAAACATTTCAGGCATTGCTTTCAATTACTCAACGCTTTGTAGTCTATATATATTCAGGCATTCGATCAGCAAACATTACTGACCATCTACTGGATGGTAGGGCACGGGCTTGACATCCGCTATGATGAACAAGGCCCTTTGTAAACTCACTACTTCTCCAGTCTCCTCTGCCAACCAACCCCATCCAGAGCCCCAGCTCCAGACATGCTGTATACCAGCTCTGCATGCTCTATTCACTCCATAATGCCCAGGAAGTTAGCCCTGAAACACTTGTAACTCTCTCCTGGGGACCACTTACCACCTTGGGCTGGACTCATTTCTCTTGAGTCCATTACCACCGCAATCTTTCACTGCTTATCACATCACAGTGCTGGCGTGTACACCACAGGGGCTCAACAAATATTTGTTACATACAAGCAGATTGTGACCAGTCTTGGAGATAACATTTCAAAATAGGGTATATGGTCTTAGATTCCAATCAATTAATACTTTATAATCTACTCACAAGTAAAATGGACCTAGGGGCTGTTATAACTAGAAGTACTTTAGAAAGTAGGTATCAACACTGACCCTCAGGGCACAAATCCCTTTCATAGCAAGCCTGCCATTCCCACAGAAGCAACTGTGATTTGGAAAGTTCTCCTGAAACGGCTGTAGGAACAGCCACTTGGAACAGAACCCTAGAACATTTATGCCTGAGGAGCCTGCCAAGTCTTCTCCAAACCCCTCATTTTACAGATGAAATCACAAACCAGAAAGGTGACATGAACACAGTGAGTGGAAAACAAGGTTCTTTGGCTCCAAGCCTAATGACACTTTATTTCATACAAACGTCTCCTGTATTTGGGTATATCTGTGAACATTTCATGGATGATGGATCAGGGCAGTTATCTGTGAATTATACTTCCACCACAGCCAGTGGAAGGAGAATTCTCAGTCTTGTCTCTGATTCCAGATTCCAGTTCTACCCCTTGGGCCTGGGATGATGAAGGAGATTGGTGAGTCACATTTTAATACTGTCAAGCAAGGGTCAACAACTTACACCCAGCCTGAGGTAGCTGCAGGCATCATACCCACCTACCTGCAGTGAAACTTCTGCCCATTCCCATGCCGTTCATGCACGCACTGGACCAACAGCTTTTGAATGAAGAGTCATCCTGACCTCACTAAAATAAACGCTGCCTTGTTAGGTACTATGACTACACCACAGACCCTGAGGCAGGAGGGAAGAAAGCCAGGACTTATTCGGTGAGTCAGCAGAATTAAAGGGCTACATTGAGAGGAAATTCCATCAGACATAGGGCGAAGGTAGGGCAAGGCACTATCTAGCCTCCTCCCTTGCCATCACAGTCACTCTAAAAAGGTCTCTGTCTTCACAGCTCCCCACTTCTGTCCCCAGAATCCAGGCTCACTTCCAGGACAGGCTCCTGAAGAAGGACTGTGGCCTCTGCTCTTCAGGTTTAGCAGCAGAGAGGGAGCCAGTGCTCTTCACCCTCTCTATGCTAGGTCTTAGCACAGAGGGTTAACAAGCCAATCCATTGGGTGCCCCATGGGCACATCATAGCCTCAGCTGAAGAACAAAGACCCAACAGGCATGAATGCAGGGATGCAGGCCATAGGTGGATCATGACACATATGAGTGAATGAATCCTGATCTAAGAGTTGTTTTCCTCCTCCAAACAAACCAGAAGATGAACCTTCCACCCTCTTATCAATCTGCAGAGATTCCTTCCAAATTCAGACAGGATGTTCAACATTTAGAACAGAAACACAGTAATCATAAAATCAAACTATCATAGTTATAATAGTTTAATGTGGACTCTCCTTCAACGTAACTTTCTTTAGTGCAGGTTTCTCTCGTGGCACCAATATTACTTCAGTACACTTATTTGTTTCTATAATTCCCTTTTCTCAACTGTATTAAAGGATGAGACCTTATCTTTTGACCATTGTATGACCATCACCTAATTAATATGACTGAGAGACAGTAAGAGTTTAATAAATAAATCTTGCATAATCACATTTAGCTAGATTTTCAGAAGGTACCATACAAATTGGTTAGATGCTTTCATATTAAAAACAAGAAATAAATATTACATCTTATCTCCATATTTATATAAAATCAAAATACTAAACAGAATCTTACTCTCGTAAAGTGGCTACAACTCATAAAAATAAACTATAAGTGTCTATTTAAACTTCCCTACTTGGAACATTAACTAAATACTTAATGTTCTCAATTTTAAATGGGAGCTAAACATTGAGTACACATGGACAAAAAGGGGGGAGATCAACAGACACCAGGGCCTACCTGAAGGTGGAGGGAGGGAGGAGGGAGGAAGGTGGAGGGAAGAGAATGAGGATCAAAAAACTACCTGTCAGTAGTATGTTTATTACCTGCGTGATGAAATACTCTGTACACGAAACACTTGAGACACAACTTACTCATATAAGAAGCCTGCGCATGTACCTTCTGATAGGAAGGAAGGAAGGAAGGAAGGAAGGAAGGAAGGAAGGAAGGAAGGAAGGAAGGAAGGAAGGAAGGGGGAGGGAGGGAGGAAGGGAGGAAAGGAGGGACAGAGGGAGGGAGGGAGGGAGGGAGGAAGAAAGGGAGGTAGGAGGGAAGGAGGGAGGGAGGGAGGGAAGGAAGGAAGGAAGGAAGGGGGAGGGAGGGAGGGAAAGAGAAAGAAAGATGTTCTCTGCATGGGCCTTGTCTTTAAATACATTGAAATTGGGTGAATAATTGTTTCTGTCTTCATAGTCAATGGCTCCACATTTGACTAAACATTAAATCACAAATGAATTCAGTTTTTCCTGGCTATTATATTCTTGCTTCAAATTTTTGTGATTTGTACTCAAGTCGTATCATGTATTTTACTTATGAGATCCTGTAATTTTCCTTTTTATTTGTTCACACTTCGTTGGCATAAGGGAAGATTTGACCCCATCAGTTTTCTTTCTGTGACTCAATTTTAATATCTATATGCTTTAAGAAGTTCTAAAATTTAAAAAAAAGAAAAAACTTCCCTGCTTATGGTAGACAGAATAATGGCCCCGCATAGATGCTCACTTCCTTATCCCCAGAATCTGTGGCAAAAAGAACTTGGCCAGTTTGATAAAGTTAAGGACTTTATCAAATTGAGAGATTATTCTGGGCTAAATAGGTGGCCTCATTAAACTGTATAGGTCTTTAAAAGCAGGGAACATTTCCTGCCTGTAGTCGTGGAGTGATATGACCACGGAAGAAGGGTCAGAGAGCTGCTGGCTTTGAAGATGGGAGGAAGCAGCCACCAGCCAAGGAATGCAGATGTCCTCTACAAGCTGGAAAAGGTCAGGAAGCAGATCCTTCCCTAGAGAATGCATGCTACCGCACCTTGATTTCACCAAGGGAACCCAGACCTCTGATATACCGATGCGTGAGATAATATACTGGTGTCGTTTTAAGCCGCTATGTCTCTGGCAATTGGTTATAGCAACAATAGAAAAACCATACAGAGCCCAAACCCTAGCAACTCACAAGCTAGAGGGAAGCTCTCTGAACTTGCATTTCCTCATCTGTAAAAGTAAATAAACACTACCTAAAAGACTCCTGTGAAGATGAAATGCAATGAATAATGCAGAAAGCTTAATTCAGTGTCTGCAACCTCTGAAGTGAGGGGAGTTGTTCTCTGAATTAACTGGGGTGTGAGCCCCACAGCCACTTACAGTCCCGCAGTCGGCCTCCCCTCTGCCCTCCTGGAGTGAAAAGCGTTCCTTCTGAGGCTGCTGATTAGAGACGTCACCTCTATTCGCATGCGCAGGACTGGACAAGATCTTTGGGTCTTATAAACCGCTTGAGAAGCAGCAGTTGACTTCCTAGGCGACCAAGGCATCTTCCAGTTCCCACGTCCAAAGGGAGCAGCACAGAGGAGGAGAGGGCCACCCTCAGGTGTCACTGCAACCCTGTTACTGTGCCCGGCAGCTTTGCCTTCCTGGTCTGAGATGATGCCCTGTAGAGGGAGATGACGCAGTAACCGTATTCCAAAGACCACATACTCTCAGACTCAGTTAAACCATACGGCCTGCCTTGTTGCCTCGTTTAGAAACAATCATTTTCCATTCTAAAGTTTGAATGAAATAAAACCCAAACTGCTACCAATTTTGCACAATGGAGATGCCTGCAGCATATTTTAGTTGGCGCTCGGTCCTCGCATTTACGATGAACTTAGAGTGCCGCCTAGTGGCACAATGAGAGGCGGTAGTGACAACATTTTGTAGAGGAAAAAACTACCAAGGGAGACTTCGGGAACGTTATAAATAGAAAGTCCCAAGGTCCTGGTGCTGAGCGGCTGTTTTATGGGCTTGCTTGACCCAAATGAGCTATATCCCAAGGTATATAGACGCCTCATCTAAAAAGGCGTCCTAGCTGCATCAGGATATACATCTTATCTAGGCCTCAAACAGCCTAAATAAGAGTGTTTTTCATTTACTGTAGAATATTTTTGTAAATTTTCTTATCTTCATGAGACAGAAACATAAAATTGATCTTTTCCTTAGAAATATTTATATTCGAAATACTAAAGGTTATTACTGAAATTTTTGAATTTTAATAAACTTTCAATTTATTCATTTCTATTATCTGTTTTTCACTAGGATGCCAGCTATGCACCATTGAAATATGTTTGTTTCAAATGGATTTTAATAATTCTGTAGCACAAGTATTCCCTATATTAGCCATTTCTATTTTCTCACATTCTCTTTATTTTTTCTGAAAACTTTCCTTATTCTTAACTCAATGTTTTTACTTCAGCTAGTTTTCTGAAAGGGTTATATTTAATAATTTTTGTCACCTTTTTTTTGAATAATAAAGTCTCTCTTATTTGCTCCATACCTTCCTTGAGATGAAGAGTTTAATATATTGAAAAAAGTGGCTTTGCTCAAGGAATTTTAAATATAGAAAGCTGCTTCTTGACTAGCTGGAATTGGACCATTTTCTATAACATCAAAACACATCATAGAAACTGAGAACCTTCCTGGGTTTTCTACTACTTATCCGGCTCCTCTTTCTCAGTTGCCATTTTCACTAACTAGATGTTAGCCAGCCCCCTTCCACTCTATCCTCTTCGCTACACAGAAGTAATTTGCTGACTCCAAACTCTGGCTCTTCTACAGATTTTCCCGAGTGCCAGCCCTACAGAAATAAACCGGCATTAAACATCTCAACTTCAATGTTCAAAACCAAACTGATCCTCTTCCTCCCTACATCTGCTTCTCTTCCTAAATCCTTGATCTCATAGAAAATGGTGCCACTGTCTGCTGAGCCACTGAAACCAGAATTGGGAGATAACTATAATTCCTCCCTCCCCCTTGACCTCCCCCAAATCCCACTGCCACTCTCCGTTCACCCTTTCATCATCTTTTGCCATGATGATTTCTCAGTGGTTCTCCCTGTTGTCCCTGTAGATCGAGCATTGTAAAATGCAAATTGATCACCACTTAAAAATCCTTCATTGATTTTCCAATACCTTCAGCCTAAATCTAAACTCCTACATGAGGATATCAATACCTTTATCATCTGGCTCCCAGAACCTCCTGAGCTTCACCTCTTCCCACTAACCATTGTTCATCCAATCTTCCAGCCATCCTAGACATGAACATTCCCTTCCACACCTCCCTGCCTTAGCTAATGCTCACCACTCCCTCAGGCTAGCTCCTTCAGTCCTCAGCTTAGGCAACAGGTCACCCAGGAAGTCAGCTTAAGGCATACAGACAACATTGGAACACAGATCACATTGCATTCCATTGTCTTTATGTGTCTGCCTCTTCCCCTACTAGACTTCTTGAGGGCAGAAACTGTTAATGTTCATTTCTGAAAACCTCCTGCCCTACACATAGATTGTTATATTTGTTGGAGAAGTGAAGAAAATACATTAATGGAGAACACTTTGTGACTTCTTACCATCTGCCAGACCCTACAAAGATGTTACATGTCTGGCTATGTTTAATCTTCGTACTGATTCTATGAAGATTTTGAGTGTTTGTTTTACAAATGAAGAACATTAGGGCCATTAAAGTCAACAACGTTAAATTATCTGAGGTCACCATCGCAGAAGCTGTAATGTACCTCCCAAATCCTGCTTTAAGAAAAGACTGGACAGGTGCTGTGGCATCTCTACTAAAAATACACCTGCCTCAGCCTCCCAAAGTGCTGGGACATCTGAACCAACTGAGACATCTATGATGGTGGATATTGTATTAGTATATTCTCACACTGCTTTCAAGAGCCACCTGAGTCTGGGCACAGTCGCTTATGCCTGTAATCCCAGCTCTTTGGGAGGCCAAGGCGAGTGGATCACCTGAAGTCAGGAGTTCAAGACCAGTCTGGCTGGCATCGTAAAACCTCATCTCTACTAAAAATACAAAAGTTAGCCGAGTGTGTGGTGGGCACCTGTAATCCAGCTACTCAGGAGACTGAGGCAAGAGAATAGCTTGAACCCAAGAGACAAAGTTTGCAGTAAGCCAAGATCAGGCCATTGCATTCCAGCCTGGGTGATAAGGGCAAGACTTCGTCTGAAAAAAAAAACAGGACTTATGCTTCATCTGTGTGGACTGCTGTCTGAGGTACTCTTCACCCAAGGTTATGCCCTCTTTCCAGGGCACGTTCAGTGACTGACCCCTATGTGAGTTAACCTCAACTAGGTTGTCAATTCAGAGCATCTCAGTGGGTCGGCTCAAAGGCCTTCTTTGAGATATAATTTTCCTCTATCCAATCTCAATTCCTTCTCTTTCTTTAAAAGATATCAATGCCAAAGCACCCTTTTTTTTAGCTTTTAAGTTCAGGAGTACATGTGCACTTTTTTACATGGGTAAACTTGTGTCATAAGAGTTTGTCGTACAGATTAAATCATCACCCAGGTATTAAGCCTAGTACCCATTAGTTATTTTACTTAATCCTCTCCCTCCTCCAACCCTCCACCCTTCACTAGGCTCCATTGTGTGTTGTTCCCCTCTCTGTGCCCATGTATTCTCATCATTTAGCTCACACTTATAAGTGAAAACATGCTGTATTTAGTTTTCTGTTCTTGTGTTAGTTTGCTAAGGATAATTGCCTCCAGCTCCATCCATGTCCCTGCAAAGGATATAATTTAACTCTTTTTTATGGCTGCATGGTATTCCATAGTATACGTACCACATTTACTTTATCGTGTTTCTCATTGATGAGCATTTAGGTTGATTCTGTGTCTTTGCCATTGTGAATAATGTTGCAATTATCACACACTTGCATGTATATTTATAATAGAATAATTTTTATTCCTTTGGGTATATACCCAGTAATGGGATTTGTGAGTCAAACAGTATTTCTGTCTTTAGGTCTTTGAGGAATTGCCACACTGTCTTCCACAATGATTAAACTAATTTATACTTCCACTGACAGTGAATAAGCGTTCTTTTTTCTCCACAACCTCACCAGCATCTGCTATCTTTTGACTTTTTCATAATAGTCATTCTGACTAGTGTGAGATGGTATCTCATTGTGGTTTGACTTGCATTTCTCTATAGAGTTTTTGTTTTCTCCTAAATGTAAGTTCCTTATAGATGCTGGATATTAGACCTTTGTCATATGCACAGTTTGTGAAAACGTTCTCCCATTCTGTAGGTTGTCTGTTTACTTTGTTGATGGTCTCCTTTACTGTGCAGAAGCTCTTTGGTTTAATTAGATCCCATTTGTCAATTTTTGCTGTTGTTGCAATTGCAAAAGCATCCCTTAACAAGCCTCATGCACTCTTCTCTCCATCTCAGACTCTGCTCCTGAGGGAATACTGTAACACTCACACAGCTAGTAAACCACAGATACTAAGCACAGGCACTCAATGAACATTTGTCAATTCACTGTTCCATCTGTTTTTTCATTTAGTTGGTGCCATTTGTTTATGGAACTTGTCCTCAAGAACCTCACAGCCTAGTCTACTGGCCCTGAAGGAAGGGACAGGGAAATTATACTTTAAAGTGCGTGGTTTGAAGATCAAATCAATAAATATAAGTTTAATTACATCAAACAGGACACAAACATTCTCTAAGTTTAAGCTTTGTTTTATTTAACAATACTGTTAGAAACCCAAAATTTTAGCAATATTTCTTCTTAAATACAAGCCTGATCCACATCTTATTTATGTTATTTTTCTAAATACCTTTAAAGCAATTAAAAAGCAAAACATTGTAAGAGAAGAGAAGAGAAGGATCTCATGAGTGCCTAATGACCGCAAGTCTTCCAGGGTAGTCATGTCACAAGTTTAGCCTCCCTGGATGTTAAAATCTGCTCTGGTGACTTCAAGCATTACAGCCACTTGAAGCCTCTGGCTATGGCAGCGTGCTCTAGATCCTGCCAGCAGATCTCTTCAGAAAAGAGAACAAAAACAGTTCAAACACCTTTAGACCTTAGTTTTAAAACATGATCTTGCAAATACACCAAAAGCAAATGCAACAAAAGCAAAAGTTAACAAACGGGACCTAAACAAACTTAAGAGCTTCTGCACAGCAAAAGAAACTATCAACAGAGTAATCTGACAACCTATAAAATAGGAGAAAATATTTGCAAACTACACATCTGACAAAGGTCTAATATCTGGCATCTATAAGGAACTTAAACAAATTTGCAAGAGAAAAACAAAGAACCCCGCTAAGTGACCAGAGGACATGAATGGACATTTTTCAAAATAAGACATCATGTAGCCAACAAGCGCATGAAAAAAAGTCTCAATATCAATGATAATTAGAGAAATGCAACTCAAAGCACAGTAAGATACTATCTCACACCAGTCAGAATGGCTATTATTAAAAAGCCAAAAAATAATAATAATAACAGATGCTGGCATGGTTGTGGAGAAAAGGGAACACTTATAAATTGTTGGTGGAAGCAAAAATTAATTCAACCATTGTGGAAAGCAATATGGCAATTCCTTAAAGAACTAAAAGCAGAACTGTCATTTGACCCAGCAACCCCATCACTAGGTATAAACTTAGAGGAATATAAATCGTTCTATCACATAGACACATGCACACAAATCTACACTGCAGCACTACTCACAATACCAAAGACATGGAATCAACCTAAATGCCCATTAATGACAGACTGAATAAAGAAAACACAGTACATATACACCATGGTATACTATGTAGCCACAAAAAAGAATGAGATCATGTCTTTTGTGTAAACATGGATGGAGCAGGAGGCTATTATCCTTAGCAAACTAATATAAGAAGAGAAAACCAAACACTGCATGCTCTCACTTGTAAGTGAGTGCTAAATGATAAGAACTTGCATGCACATAGAGGGGAACAACAAACACTGGGGTCTACTTGAGGATAGAGGGTAGGAGGAAGGAAAGGAGCAGAAAAGATTACTATTGAGTACTGAATGTAATACCTGGGTGATAAAATAATCTGTACAACAAACTCCCGTGATACAAGTTTACCTGTGTAACACACCTTCACATGTACCCCAGAAGGTAAATCAAAATTATATATACATACATACATACACACATATATATTTCTGATCTTAAACT